CAGCGACCCCTTCAGTGACCCCTTAGGGCTATTTTCACCAAGTTCTGTTTTTCTTCTGTGGACTTCCGGCACCCAGGTCTGACTGACACCATCTGAAACAAAACCTGAGCTCGGTCCCAGCCATCAGAACATCCTACCTCACCCAGGGAGCCATCGTGTGGAGGCCTGGCTCCTCTCTTGCTTTCCTTTCTAGGAGGTTTGCATGCAAGCCTTTCTCAGCGCCTTTCCTTTGAAATGATGCATGTCTTGGGCACACAGAGAGGTATAGAAAATAGTGCATTGGCACCTGCCCTTCTGTGTTCTCAGGGCTGCTGATAATCTTTGAAGGCCTCCTCTGGGGCAGGGGCGATGCTGGATGCAGGTCCAGGGGTGGCCGAGGCATCTGAAGGGGCAACAAGGGACCTCCCCTGCTCCCCTTAGAGCAAACGGGAAGGAACGGTAGTTGGGCTGGGGAGCTGTTAACCTATCTGCTTCTGATGCTGGACTGGGACTTCCTGGAGGCAAGAGGCCAGGTGCATCTCTGCGCCTCCACTGTGTAGGCCAGGGCTGCAGCTCAGTGCACATCCACAGAATTAATAGCTGGAGCCTTTTTGGAAGAGCCACTGAAGTCTGTTAGTTGGCTGAAGTGGACCATGGGCTGGGCTGCAGGTGGGAAGTTTGCAAGGCAGCCCCTTCCCCATTTCAGATCCCAGAGATTATCCTGTAATGAGCCCAGTACATTCTACATCCCTTGCTACTCGGTGACATACTGCACTGGCCTGTGACAGCTGCCCTGTAAGTGTGTTATAACCCCTCACACCGGAAGTTTTCTGAGGCCAAGGTTTTGCGACATCTGGAGCTGTCACTGATGTGGAGGCCCAGGGTGGTTACCATTAGAGCAAGGGCTGCGTGTGGCAGGGACCAGACCTCCTCCAGGCTAGGAGAAGAGGCCTGGTGCCGGAGGAGAGAAGGCTGACACCTAGGAGGTCATTAGATGTCACATAGGAAGTGGAGCCTGCTGAGAATCCTGCCCGGGGAAAGGGAAAGGCAGGGACTCCTCTGGAGACAGAAGCAGGGCATGAGGCCTGGGACACAAGCACCATGAGCAACACTACCTTAGAGCCAACGAAAAGCCCCCTGAAGGTTTTAAAGCAGGAAATAGGCAGACTGTAGATAGATACTATTGCATTTTACAATCAGGGGTGACTTAGAGATGGAGGATCCAAATTAGACAGTAGGAATGTATCTCATCTTACATAAAAGCCCAGAGGGCAGACCAGGCTTCTATTTGATTGGCCCACTAGCCATGCCCTCCTTTTCCACACTCCCCTCATGGTCCAACATAGCCATTGCAGCTCCAGCTGTCACATCTACATTCCAGCCAGCAAGAAAGAGAAAAGAGAAGAGCCCAACCCTTCCTTTATGGATACTACCTAGACACTGTTCCCACCTCTCCCTTTATATCTCCCTGGCCACTGCTTAACCTCACAGTCACTTTTCCAGAATCCAAATGCCCAACCACAATTCTGTTACTACCAAAGAAGCGCATGAGGGGTATTGGAGACCACTGGTTTTGATGACATGAAGCGGTGGACAGGAGCACAGTGGCCGGGATCCCCAGGTCTTTGTTACCTTGGGCGTTGCCTCTGACGTTGCCTTCATCTTGAAAGGGGGATGTGGTGTCGGTGTGAGGATCCCATGGGCACAAGGGGCACAGAAGTGCTTTGCAAACTAAAGCGTGGTTGTGTTCACTGTGGCCCTGTTTACGAGCCAGGATTGGGTTACAAGGACCAAAGGAGAGACGCAGACTTAAAAGGCTCGCAGTAGGGAAGGGAGAAAAGGGAGGCCATTGCTGCAGCTTCTCCCAGGCAAAGAGGGGCTTAAGGGAGGGAGGCTGGGAATGGACGGCTAAGGATCCCCAGGTTGCTCAAGAGGGGATCCTTGTGCCCCTAGAGGAGGTGTCTTCAGCCAGTGCCAAGACGGCAAATGAGGCAGCACAGAGGCCCAGCTGTGGCTTCCTTGGTCCTGCCAGCAGGTTCCCACCTTCCTCCATCATCCCACACCTCAGGCCACATCGGGGTTAGGAGCCGGAACCCAGGGTGACCATCCCAGATCCATCCCGCAGGCCCTGTCTTCCTCTCCGTGGACAGATGCGCTTACTTCCTGGTTTTGTCCAAGGCGCCCTCAGTCCTGCCCAGTAACGATGGCTCTCTCCTTGAACCGAAAGGTTTTAATTTCACAGGGCTGTGTGCAAATTGCACATTTTGCATTTGCTCAGCTTTAATCAATACGTTAACAGAATTAAGAGGTCCCAGAAAGACTTGTGATCTTACCTAAGCTAATAAAAAATGAGCCAACATAACTACAAACAGGACCTTCACTAATGCGTTTGTAGATAGCTGATCGCCACAGTTTTCTGTCTTGTATCAAATTTTCTTTAATTCATTCAGGTAGTGACTAATAGAGTGTGTGTTTTTGGAGGAGCATGCAATCTATCACTGCTGCTACGGATGGAGATTTTGTCTATTTTCTTCCATATCAGCCGGATTTCATTAAATTTCAGGCTCATAAATGCTCCTTGCCATCCCTATACTGTATTTTGCTTTATTTTTCTCCTCAGCATTTATCAGCTTCTGATATGCTGTTTACTTTGTTTTTCTCACTTGTTCTCTGTCTCTCCAAACTAGAATATAGCCTCTGGTGGGTTGTTTTTAGAGCGGGAGGGTCTGTTTTATTCACTGCTGTGTATCTTGAGTGCATAGAACGGTTCCTCATATGTGACAAACTCCAATTATTTGCCAAAGGAAGGAGGAAAATCACCTGGTGCAGTTGTTGGACCCGCAGTGTGTATAGCTTTCATTGTTACTTTTTGGTTCTACATTTCTGTGATTTCCATGGCTTGGTCTATAATGCTTGCTTCCCGAATGCCTGGCCGGTTGATTAAATAAATGGGCGAATCAAACATGACATTACAATGATGGAAAATAATGCTGTTCTCACATTCAATAGCCCAATCTCTCCTGTAGCTCCACAGACCCAGCTGGCCCGATGGAAGGAGGGAGGCATGGAGAACAGCATATATTCTCTGCCCTTGATCTCCCTATTGCATGGCCATTGTTTAAAACAGCATTTAATGACCATTGCTCAAAGATGGCACTGCCTCAGTGCCACCCCGCCACTCCCAAGCAGCTGGTGTTGATTGTGAAGCCTCCTCATCTTTCGGGGGTGATCCATCCCAGGGGCCAGCGTCGTGCCTCCTGGGCCAGCTCACCTACTTCTTTGGAAACCCGGCTCCCGACGGGATATTCTGCTCAATACGCCCTTTCGCTTATAGGCCTCTCCTATGGTAATGCTCTTGCTACACAAGCTAGACAATTAGAGGTAATTGGGATAATCGGCATTTATTATGGCAATTTGCATTTCTACAGCAGGCAGCACAGAACTTCCTACCCCGTTTGGGAATGTGCTTTTGGGATCTGGGCCGAAGCCAGCTCTCCGTGTAAAGCGCAGCTCTGGGCCCATAGAAGTTGCTCCTCCTGCGTTCCTCCCAGGAGGTCCTTGGGCAGATGAGGTGTGAGTTTCACTCACCAATCAGAAGGGAGTATGCAAATCAGTTCTGGACACCCAGGAAGTGTCCCCTCCATCCTGTCTTTCATCTGGAGCCTGGGGAGGTATCTACGGCCTGGAAGGAGTCGGGGTCTGTGGCCAGACTCTAGTGACTGATTTTTCGCTACATTGTCCAGATGTTTGACTTAGTTGACAGAACTGTTTCACTGTCTCAGCTGAGTAAACTCAAAGCGCAGGCCTGCGGTTGGTAGGAGCCTCAGCAGGGGGCTCCCTCTGAATGCGCCGCACACGTGGATCTTGTGATCTTTCCTGTCTGTAGCCACGCTCTCTGGTGCGGGCACTTCCCTTGTGCCCGCTGTGTGGGCATCCGTTTGTTCCTCTCACTGCACAGTGGTCATACATGCCAGCTTTCAACGGCAGCTCGCTAGGATCGAGTCTCTTCTCTGCCAGTTGGCAGCTGGATGCCAAGGAAAGCTGACATCGCTTTGTGCTCTTTGGTAAAGTGGAGCTAATAGTAGGGGCTGATGTGTCGACTTGGCTGAAGAATCAAATGAGGTTATGCATATGAGGCCAATGGCAGGGTGTCAGGCGTGCTCCTTCAAGGTCCTCCCCCAGGTGCTCAACAAGTCTGCATGATGCCCTTTCTCCAACCCTCTACTAGGCACATAGCACCAAGTGTGCAAAAGAAGTACAGTGGGAAGGTGCTCTGGGAGGGGCCGACCTAGTCTGGGGGACCATGCAGGTGTTTTGAGGTGGCATAGTACTCTTTTTTTCCTGAACCTTGAAAGTCTTATGGGATTTGGACTTGAGATACAGGATCAAGGCCCTTAAGCAGCAAGGCAGTGGGAGGTGTGCTTGGGGAAAACTCACAGCAAGGGGTACAGTAAGTCTTCGACTTGTGAACATTTGAGTTGTGAACTTTCATGGGTGTACTTTATAAGACTCACTCTCAGCTTACAACAGACAATTCTGGAATAGGACATATTCATAAGTCAGGGACTTATTGTACATGTTTGTATTCCTACCTGGAATATCTCTGTTTACTGTAAAGAAACACTGTAAATAGTTAAATATACTTACAATTTGTCAGGTCTTACATATCACACCCAACCTCCCCGGATCTCTTACTCTATTTCACTTCCAACATGCTGGCACATGGGGGTGCACGCACACTCACACACACAACCCACCACAGAGGTAGGGAGATCAGGAAAACGCATCATCCTCTATGATGCACTTCTTCTGGTCTAAGACTTCGCTTCTATGAGAGCTCCATCATGGATTCTGTCCATTTTGTGCAAAACATGGTGGCCAAAGTGGCGAGACCATTTCTTTGGATTATTGGGGAGACTTGGATGGTGGGGCCCCCAGATCTTCAGGCTTGAAGAAACTCCTGACTGCCTGCCTAGAAGTGGGACCTGGCTTTCCTTCATGGGGATGGCGCAGATCTTCCACCAAGCCAGTAAACAAGAAAGGTTCAGTTCTTGCAAAGCATGTGTGGAGTAAATTGAAATATTTGCTTGTAGCCTCTTTTTATTCAGTATATTAGTTTGGATAAAGGTGAAGCTGCTACAACAAAGAGTCCCAGAAGAGTGGCTTACACAGAGCAGCCTGCCTAGTGCAGCCTGGTAGCAGCTGTGCTACACATTCATTCAGACCAGGGTTCCTTCTTCCTTGTGACTCAACTGTCCGTTTGGGTGTTGTGCTTATCTGCGTACTGGAGCTGGCCTGCTGGCCCATTGGTCACCTAATTCATGGCAACTGGAAAGAAAAGCAGAGCATAAGAATTTTTCTCCAATGCAAGGGATGCAGACATTGTCCTCATCACTCTGTTTGCCTCTGGAAGACACAGGTCATATCGTCACACCTACCCCCACCAGACGCTAGGAAATAAAGTCTCTGGGTGCCACCATCTGCCAAACCCAACCCTGAAGGCAGGCTGGGGTTGGATAGCATAAGGAAGAAGGGTGATTTTGCTACATCTCACTGCTGGGGGTCTAGAGAAAGCTGAGATTTACTTAGACGGCTCTGAGCCATCACTGACCCATGCAGCCAAGACTTGGAACCCAGTGCGAAGATGCTAGTGGACAGCTCTGCACTGAACATAGAAAGGAACATATTGCTGTTTCCTGAGACCTTGGGCTTTTGGCTGCTCCTAGTACCTTTTGTTCATGAGAATGACCACTGCCCGGTTCTCCCTGGCCCTCATCTATGAAGGTCATCCCTGCCTACACACCTGAAGAACACCTACTGGTCATGACACCTCCATTGTGGCCAGCTGCCTGTTCCCTTTGCTCGACCAGATGTAATTTACACATTCATGTTTACAAAGAAGTTACCTCTGCTTTCATCTGTCTCTCACTGTCACACTAGAATGAAAGCTGGACAGGTTTTCTCCATGCGTCACAGAAGCTTTACGGAGTGAAGGGCTGTATTAGAGGAAGCCAACTTAGGCATTATCCGTGAGCAGCCCGCAGTATTAACTTTTGAAAATGAGAAAAGTTTGCCTCCCACCCTCACAAAGTCGATGAATTTGAGCGACTCCGTTGGGCTGACCATCTTCCACGTGGTCCTCTGAGATCCAGGGTAACAGGAGCTACACCCTCCATAGCTGCACCTTCTGGAAAATGCAGCCTCCTTGGCACGTACAGTGGGGAAGAGAGATGCGGACATGACACATTGTCTCAGCTCACAGAGCATGGCCAGAGGCAGTCACAGAGCTCACGGACCGGCAGGTGGGCCGAGGAATGTGGTCTGGACAGGAAGGAGGGCTGGGTGTCAGTGAACACGAATAATGTCTACCACGGAGGTTTGGCACTCAGTCCCACCGCAAATCATGGCACCTGGGACTTTTTAACAAGTGTTTTCATTTCTGATATAACCCGAGACTGACAGTAAGATGAGCTCCACCTAGCTTTCCTGGGAATAGCAGCAATTGCTTATATTTGTGACTGATTAGATGTTATTTTGAGGAGAAAAAAGCTAATCCCATATGCAGAACCTCCATGTGCTATCCTGGGCCGCTTTCCAGAGCAGGCAGCTTACCTATATTTCAGGCTCCAATTTCACATAATTTGGATCCCTCCTATGGATTAGAAGTCAGAGAAAACCCTCTGACTTCTATATATATGCAGTCTGGCTTGGGGACAGGAATATATGACCGTCACTATCCATTCCTACCTTCGCAAGGTGGTTGCTCTTAGTAAGCAGAGATTGGAAGGAAGAACAGGTATGTTTCAATGGGGGAAGACCAGCAGGAGGAAAAGAAGAGGGAAGGCTTGAGGTGGTGGGGCACACTAATCCTTTGCTGAGCTAAAATCTGAATTGGGCTGTCTCTGGTTGGAAAAAAGCATGCATGGGGTATTCTTTGAGAGCCATTCTTTCAATCTGCACAAATCACCGACACTAAGGGTGAACTGAGCTGCCTCAGACATATCTTCTCGTGACCTTGACCTATGGAAGACAGCTATTGTTTGTCGTCCTTCTTTCTTCTGTACCTGAGTCTTAACTTTGGGTCTTGCACAGCCTTTAATAACTCTGTAACTATGGAGAGCCCCAGTTATCTATTTCCATTTGTAAAAGAAAGACAAAAAATATTAAATATTCCCTCCAGGCTTCTTGGAGAATCACATAAGCCAACAAGTCTACTGGATCTGATAACTCCAGAACTGTGGAACAGGAGGGGTTACCACTGGGTCCTCATCGTCGCCACCAATGCCATCATCGTCGTGGTTACTCTGTGGCCTTGACCACACCAACAGCATGTGCTGCAGAGGCAACAGCGGACATGAGCACCCAAAGCAGTAAGAGTCGGCCTACTTCTGCTTAGGAAACAAACCTCATCCCACACACAGCTCTGGTTTCTCTTTGTCCCTCCTTCCTAGACCTGTCCACCCAGAGCTCAGAGCCCTTCTCTGGCTTTCTGAGCTCTGACCTGCCTCTTCGTTGGTCCTGAAATGAATCTGTGCTTCTGGGCATTTGTATTAGCTTTTTCCTGCTATGTAACAATTGCTCAGACTCGAGGGGGTTAAAGCAGCACAGATTTACTGCCTCTGTTTCTGTGGATTTTTCTCAGGGCTCATGCAACTAAAACAAGATGTCCTTGGGAAGTCCAACAAGAGCAATAATCACTCCCAAGCTCACTGGGTCATTGGCACCATTCAGACTCTGGACTGTAGGACTCAGGCGACTCTTTTTTGTCTCTCTGGGCCTCTGAGCTCTTATTGGCTGCCTGTCTCTGCTCATGGCCCCTCTGAAGCACGACAGTTTATGCCTTTGAGGACAGCAGGGGAGATTTCTCTCACTGTGAGTCTCTGTGACTTCAGGGACAGCCGAGACCCTTTTACAGGCCCATCTGATGAGACGGGCCCACCAGAACACTCTCCCTTTTGATTAAGTCAAAGTCAGCTGATTAGGGACTTTCATTAAGAACTTCTGCAAAATCCCTTCTGCTATAGAGTATGAGGAATCACAAGAATTGCAGTCACCAGAGCAATGCACTATGGTATCCTCCCATTCCAGCCCACACTCCAGGGAAGGGATTTTGCAGAGGGTGGGAATCTCAGGGACCTCTTAGAATTCTGCTACCGCAGTATGCAATGGGTCTGTTTCTGGTCCTCAACTGTCCTGTCAGACCAGTCTGAGCTCTCATCCAACAGTGTGCCGAGTCTCCCCAGAGAGACAGAGACACAGAGAGAAACAGGGAGAGAGAAACTGGCTCGTGGATTACAGAGGCTGAGAAGACCCTTGGTCTGCCATCTGCAAGCCAGAGCTCCAGCAAAGCCAGTGGGGTGCAACACAGTCAAGGGCAGGAGGAAAGAGATCAGTGTCCAGCTCAAACAGGCAGACAGGAGAACACCTGCCCCTGCCCCACTGGTTGTATTCAGGCCCCAGGGGACTGGATGGTGCCTACTTGGGGCAGGGCAATCTACTCTACAGAGTCCACCAAGTCTGCCAATTCAAATGCTCATCTTGTTGGGAAAAAAAATCCTCACAGACACATTTCAAAATATGCTTCATCTGGGCACCATGTGGTTGGTCAAATTGACACATGCGAGTGGTCTAGATATCATTGGAAGTGTGGTCATCTCAGGGGAGGATCCTGGAACACAGAGCCCGAGGGAAGGAGGAGGTGCTGATACACTCGCAGAGGTCCAGCTTCAGGGCAGAGTGTGAAGGCCAGGGGAGTTAGGCAGCACAGGATGGAAACTGATGCGAGATCATGTTCCCAGTGGTGTCCTCGGCCCCATAACAGACCACAGAAGACCTCATGGACCATTGGTCAGGGAACCAGCTCAGCCAAGCAAGGCTGCTCAGCACAGACTGGAGGAAGAGCAGTGGAGGTTAATCTGCCTGGCTTCCTCCTTGGAAGTTCCCTGTAGGGAGTTCACTCTCCTGCACTTCCAAATGCAGTCTTGTCCCCTTGGGTACTCTGGAAACCCCGGGGCATGGGGGGGGGCATCCCAGACCCAGGTGCAACCCACCTGTCTGCATGAAGTGCTCCTTCGTGGTAGCAACAGAGGCAGGACAAGTGCTGACAGTCCAGGAGGCAGGTGAGGCTGTGAGATCACAATGTGGGTCAAAGTGGGTTGACTGTGACTGGGCTAAGTCCTGGAGCTGCCCAGGCAAGCACATATGGAGGAAGGACAGACAGAGGCATGGAGAGCGACCTCGACAGCCAGCTGGCACGGAAATGAGTCAATGTGCATAAAGAGGAGGGGAGAAAGGGGCATTAACAACTTTAGTCCTGTACTTTAGGACTACTTTTATTATAAAGATAAGATAATACATTTAAATGAAAAATGGGACCAACACAAAAGTTTGCATAACAAGTCATTTTGTGTCCTAGATTCCAAGTTGCAGTTTTTAGAGAAGCTTTTTAAACTTTCTCTGGCTTGCTCAATCAAAGGTAGATAGAAGATAGACAGAAGATAGACAGACAGACAGACAGACAGATACTGACATGTGTGTGTGTGTGTGTGTGTGTGTGTGTGGAACCTTTCAGTTATACACATAGGATCTTATGTTGCATTAGTTTTGCACAATGGCATTTTACATATGAGAGTGCTAGAGGTAAATTTTAAAATTATAATAGTCTTCAGCTATTGTAAATAATGCTGTAATTTAAGTGGTGCTGTAATTAAATGTTTGTATTGATTCTTTGCATGTAAGTACAAGTAACCTGTATAGAACACATTCCTGAGTATGGAACTGCTTCATAAAGCAATGGGTGGCATTTAAATTTCTATATAGATGCTGCCAATTTGTCTCCCAGCTCTTTCCCCCTAATGTGATCCTTCTTCCTGCTAACCCCAATGCCTTTGATGTGCCAGTCTGCCCACAGCTTCCCTAGCACCACTGGGATCAGCAAACATCTTATTCTTTACCAAACTCCTGGTAAAGAGTTTCCATCTGCATGTCCTTCTTTATTAAAAAGGCTGAACATCTTAGACACCAAAGGTGCTTTTCAGTCACTGATGGACCTGGTGATCTGTCCTTTTAGTTCAGAGTCTCCCAGCTAAGCAGGACAGCCTACTCCAGGAATCCTGGGTCACTCCTGCAAGAGAGAGCACAGCAGACATAGCCCACCAGAAAACTGTGCAGGGACTGAAGGGTTAACTAAAGCAGAGAGCCGGGAAGAGGCCAGTGGGTGTTTTGAACCTGATAAAATGAGGCACAAGGACTGCACATTTTTGGGTAAATGTTGCTCAAAATTTTGGCGCCTTGGAGAGAACCTTGAAATGAATTTTCTGTACAGGATGGTCAGCAGCAGTGACTTACTGATCCTGGGCACAGAGCCTGCCCCTAGTAAATGACAAATCCATGAGTGATGGGAGTGAAACTCCAGATATCCTGCCCTACCCAGCCCTGGCCTCTGCTCCCTGCAGCGAATGCTTGTGGGGAAAGATGAATGGGTTTTAACCCAGAAGGGAAAAAAGTAGATATGAAAGTCAACTCAAAAAGAGGGCTGTGAGTGTGTGTGTGTGTGTGTGTGTGTGTGTGTGTGTGTGTGTGTGTGTGTGTAACTGGAGGGAATAAAGATGCGCCACATGATCTGAACAGTGATGACGATAGAGGTGTTGCTAAGGGTGGTGACAGCGGCTCAGAGCTCATTTACCACCCCCACACGTACAATGTGCCATTTCAGTGCCACATGGAGAGTGGCAGTCCCTGGTCTGCCAGTCACTTGCACCTTTCCCTTCAACAGTGTCACTGTCCAGCTCTCTTGTCCCCACTTCCCATTTCCTTCAGTTGACTGACAGAACTGATCACATTTCTAGGGGACCGTTCCTGGCAAGAGACACACCAGGCAAGCTTTTTTTGATCACTTCCTGGAGAGAGCTGGGGTCCTCTCCTGCAGTGGTGACAGACCCTTCTCTGCACTGGAGCAGGGTCTTAGAGCGCAGGCAATGAGTCCTCCTCAACTACTCTGTCAGTGCAGTGGTCCTGGGCCTCACCCCGCCCCCACGGGGCAGGGATCCTTTTGTTTTGCAATAACTAGCCTAAGGCTACAACCAAATCTCTTGCCTTAGGGGACTGACGAGAGATGTTAGAATTTCTCTTTCTAAACTCACTGCATTCCTTCTCTTTCTCTTTCCTTCTCCTTCATTTCTTCTTCCTCTCTCCAGTCTTTCCTGTGTGTGTGTGTTTCCCTCACCACGTGCTGAGGAAATGCTGGGGCAGGGCGATAATTACATCACATCCACACATTTGGCATCACAGAAGCCTATATTATCAGCCATTCTCTCCTACTTCTGCTCAGAGCCCTTTTACCCATCCTGAAGTCTCTCTAGGCTTAACGGAGCAATCAGGTGAGTGTAGTTGCACAGTTCTAGTTTCCACTGTGGAGAGTTTAGGGAGGTTCACTGTCACAGTTATGACATGTCACAGTTAACTGAAACACGGTTATGTCAGGGTGTCCTGGGGTAGGACTCCCGCCGGCCTTACACCTGCCAATGCAGACTCTAATGTTTTAAGTCTGTCCAGTGGCACCATGGGCTCTTGTGACCTTGCCAGCTGATGTGGTGAATTCTGGATCATTGGCACCTTGGGAAGTCAGTGTCACAGCAGCAAGCCCACGTTGTGGTGGACCCAACATGTGGATGACTTTGAAGGTACTGATGTTGACCAGCCATGACTCTTGGTCTTGAGGATGTTCAGTGAGGTGACCAAGAGAAAATCTGACGTGCACTGTCACCTTATATAGGCCTTGGCTTGCCCTTCATGTCCAGCAGACTTTCACTGAAGAGGCGACACTGCACACATTAGAAGTCCTCCCAGACTCTTCTACTAATGCCCCTGAACTTTTTTCTGCATCTTTGTTCCTCCCAGTACAGAAGAAAGACACCAGTGGTCTCTATAGTGAGCTGGAGTGGCCATAATGACACTGTCTGGCAGCAGCAGCCGCCTACATAGTTGTTCTCATTCTGAACCTGGAAACCAGGCCTGAACCCATCCTAGCTCTCTCCAGCCAGACTGCCTGGAGACATTCAAATTTTACCATCACCTGCAACAGGCTCCTAGCCTCCCGTGGTTACACAAAGCTGTGTGTGACTTGGGAGTGGAGGAGAGCTTGTCTTTCTAATAAGACGAGGCTCACACGGGGCTCTCTGAGCCCCGCAGCTGCACTTGTAATTGTCAGGAAATCGGGATCCACACAGCACCAGTGAAGCCTGGTAATGAAACGTCTGCTCTCCCCAAGACAGCCCTTGTGGTGTGGCCAGGCCAGACAGATGCTCATTAAGTGAAAGGGCTGCAGATTCAATCAGGGCAGGCCAGAAGTAAGCACAGGGAGCAGCTTCCTACAGGGACAGAGCTCACCTTGTTCTTTCTCGTTTTCCCCAAGCCTGGGTGGGTTGAAAGTCTCCCCAGACGAAGCATGAACCCAGGTTCCAAGAATCAGACTGAGAACAGAAATCTCTAGCTTCTGTGCAGTGGATTCAGTCGGATAAGGAACAGCCCCAGGTCCAGCTGAACTTTGGGAGAAATCACTTCCACCGTGGAGAATCTAATGAAAACTTAGCACACACGTCTCAGAAAAAGTGCTCCTCGACATAAAATTCAGCACATGATTTTAATATGTTCACAGACCCCAGGAACCCATCCCTGGGCTAAGGAGTAAAGTAACAAAGACTCCTCTACTACACAATGTCACACATGTCTAGCTGTCTTAGGGTACCGCCCTTCAGTTTTGGGGGCAATGATGGTAAAGTTAATAGCAATGTGTGTTGACAATGCTTCTCTGCTATCTTTGAGATGAATAACACCTACAGCCCACACCTGTTCATGTCTAAGTGACTGCATTAGTCACTTCCTACCACCCAGACAGGATACCCAACAACTGAAAGTTAAAAGAAGACAGGTTTATTTCGGCTCACAGTTTTCAGAGGATTTAGTCTATAGTCAGCTGGCACCAAGGCAGAAATGGCATGGTTAGAAGGGCCTGGTAGAAGAAAGCAACTCAACTCATGGCAGCCAGGAAGCAGAGAGAAAAGGGAGAAACCAGGGTCAAAGAATCTATCTTTCCCGGCCAGTCTTCTAGTGATCTGCCTCTTCTGGCTGGGCCCTACCTCCTAGAAGCACATTCAGGCACAAACTCATCGGTGGATGAATCCAGGGATGAGTATAGCACCTTTGTGACCCAATCAGCTTTCAAAAATCCTACCTCAAATACAAACTCACCCAAGTCTTTCTTGGGAGAGATTTTAGATCTAAAATATCACAGTGATCATTCTTGAGACCTCATGGCAAATATCTTCCCCATCTATCCTCCTCTTTCTTTGAGCATTTAAAGAATTTTATAGTCTTCCCAATGATCAGAATCATCTTAACAAGGATCATAATGGTGATGATCATTTCCTTCTTGGGTTATGCCCATGTCCCCTTTGTCATCTCTAAAGGAGATCTGCTTCCTGGAGGTAGGTGCCCCTCCACAAGTGTTAGAGTACTTTGTGCACAGTGTGTGTTTGAGACCATGTCCTCTGGATGGGTGTCTGGCCCTGGGTGCTATTCATATATAACCAGCCTGCCCACAGTGGTGAAGCTGGACTCTGACCACTGCTGCACATGGCCTTCCCAGTAGGCTTCTGGCAATTGGCATCCACCATGCACAGCCACTCATGGGCTTGGAAGAGGCTGTCCCCGAGGGCAAGTGCTCCTTCCTCCCCTCTGTGAAATATGTTCATGGGCCTTTGACATTGAACTACAGTGCAATTTGTTTATTTGTTTCCAGAGTTGAAAAGACCAACAAATGTCACCCACCGTCACTCCTGTCTCCTGATGTGTCACATAAGGTGTAATAGCAATGAGTACTTTGGTCCCCGTGAATCAGCAGTATTAAGGCTGTGTCTAGATGCCCCCCCTAAAGCCTCATGCAGTCACAGCTGGGGCTTTTTCAGAGGTGGCTGGACCTAGAGTGTGTGATTAGTTCCTGGTGCAATTCTAGGATTCAGGGTGCTAGGACTGAGGGTGGGTGATTACTAAATCAGTCCAATTGGTTTGGCACCGCCCTAATCCCAGTAGCCTGGGTATAATATAAGGGACAGGAAGAGGCTTGTCTT